CTCTAGACAGTTGAAAGTTCATGAGAAGAATTATCCAACCCATGACTTAGAGTTGACTGCTGTAGTATTTTCTTTAAAGATATTGCGTCATTATTTGTATGGTGTTCATGTAGATGTATTCACTGATCACAAGAGTCTTCAATATGTGTTCACTTAGAAGGAGCTTAATCTTAGACAAATGAGGTGGTTAGAACTACTCAAGGATTATGACATGAGTATTCTTTACCACCCACGTAAGGCTAATGTGGTTGCTGATGCTTTAAGCAGGTTGTCTATGGGTAGTACCGCCCATGTTGAGGAAGAAAAGAAAGAGTTAGCGAAATATGTGCATAGACTTGCACGCTTAGGAGTCCGACTAATGGACTCCACAGAAGGAGGAGTAGTGGTGATGAATGGGGCTGAATTATCATTAGTGTCAGAAGTAAAAGAGAAGTAAGACCAATATCCCATTTTGCTTGAATTGAAGGAAAATGTTCATAAGCAAAAAGTAATGGCTTTTGAATAAGGGGGAGATGGTGTTTTGAGGTATTAAGGTAGATTGTGTGTGCCAAGGGTGGATGAACTCTAATAGAGGATCATGGAGGAAGGTCATAGCTCCAGATATTCCATCCATCCAGGTTCCACAAAGATGTATCGTGACTTGAGAGAAGTGTATTGGTGGAATAGCATGAAGAAGGGTATTGCGGAGTTTGTGGTTAAGTGTCCGAATTGCCAACAAGTTAAAGTAGAGCACCAAAGGCCCAATGGTATGGCTCAGAATATAGAGATTCCAGAATGGAAGTGGGAGATGATCAATATGGACTTCATCACAGGTTTACCAAGGTCTCACAAGCAGCATAATTCTATTTGGGTGATTGTCGATAGAATGACAAAAAGCAGCCCACTTTTTGCCTGTAAAGACTACCCATTCAATAGAGGATTATGCCAGGTTATATAGTCAAGAGGTAGTAAGACTTCATGGAGTCCCTGTTTCGATTATGTCAGATAGAGGTGCACAATTTAATGCACAGTTTTGGAAGTCATTCCAAAAAGGCTTGGGTTCAAAGGTGAACTTAAGCACTGTTTTTCATCCTCAGACAGATGGTCAAGCAAAACGCACTATTCAGACCTATCCTCAGACAGATGGTCAAGCAAAGCGCACTATTCAAACCTTAGAGGATATGTTGAGGGCTTGTGTGATTGATTTCAAAGGTAATTAGGATGATCACCTACCTCTTATTGAGTTTACTTACAACAATAGTTACCACTCTAGCATCCAAATGGCTCTTTATGAAGATCTTTATGGGGAAGATGCAGATCTCTTATTAGATAGTTTGAAGTTGGTGAAGCAGGGTTGATAGGACCAGATCTAGTTCATCAAGCTATGGAAAAGGTGAAAGTGGTTCAAGAGAGGTTGAAAACGGCGCAGAGTCGTTAGAAATCCTACACTGATGTTAGGAGAAGGGAGTTAAAGTTTGAAGTAGATGATTGGGTATACTTAAAAGTTTCACCTATGAAAGGTGTTATGAGATTTGATAAGAAGGGGAAGCTTAGTCCCCGGTATATTGGCCCTTACAGAATATAAAAAAGGGTAGGTAATGTAGCTTATGAGTTGGAGCTACCACAAGAGTTAGCCGCAGTTCATCCGGTTTTTCACATCTCCATGTTGAAGAAGTGCATGGGTGATCCTTCATTGATCATACCAACTGAAGATATTGGGATCAAGGATAGATTATCTTATGAAGAGATTCCGGTCCAGATTCTAGATCGCCAAGTTCGCAAGTTGAGGACCAAGAAAGTAGCATCAGTCAAGGTCCTTTAGAGGAACCAATTTGTTGAGGAAGCTACTTGGGAAGCTGAGGAGGATATGAAGAGGAGGTACCCACAACTATTCGAATCCGGAGAAGTTCCAAATTAAGGTACTAATCCTTTTCTTGGCATTTTTAATTATATGTTGGCATGTTGTTATTGCATTATGCTTGTTGGGTGTTTGAAATGTTTAATGTGACGCCTTAATCATCCTAAGAGTAAGCTCATTCGAGGACGAATGTTCCCAAGGGGAATATATTGTAACACCTTGTAACTAGAAAGAACTAGAAAGAAGTTAGAAAGTGGAAATAGTTATTTTTGGAAATAATATAAAAATCTGGAAATTTGTCAAGTATGTTAAGTTGGATTTTTGGTCAACTTCAAACAAACATAAATCCTAGTTCGGGATGATTTAGGTGTGTTTCTAGATATAGTAGAAAATATCTTGGAATAAACTTTCCAACGCCGCTGAGTTTGCGCGATTCCGAGTTCGTATGAGTAAGATATGCCCATTCGAAGTTGGGCTGTTCTAAAAAGGAAAGTCCAATCCGGATTTTAAAAGGGTAGTTTGGTCTTTTCCTTACCCAACTGATTTAATTCGTTTTAGAGAATTAACTAAGGGTCAAAACTGATTTTAGTCATTTTAGAAAAATCGAATTCACGCTAGGGCTTGGAGAAAAGAGAAAAGAGGAGAAAGGAGAAGAAAGTTCAAGATTCGTCGTTTTGGTAAGGAATTGCTTGGGATTTCGTCAAGGGGTGATCCCTACGAGGTATGTGATATCACATAGCATTGGGTTAGTTCACCCACGCGCCAATCATGTTTAATTCATCGATTTTCGTCCTGAAAGAGTTAGAATTTGATATTCTTGAGTTGTGTTCTTGAATTGTTTTCATTCTTGAACTTACATGTGATTGATGGGTTTTTTGAGATGTTTCAGCGATGTTAAGAGTTATTTCGAGTTAGATTCTAGTGTACATGTTTGGGTATCTGATTCTAAGAAAGTATTGAGAAAAGGAATTGATTTAAAATGATTTAAGATAAGAAAACGAGTTGAAAAATTCATCAGTCGCACCTGGGGAGGGCCAGGAACGTCGCACCCCCATAGCACCAGAGAGGCTGGGGTGGCGCGCCTGCCGTGCGCTCAAATGGAGCCCCAGAAAGTGGGAGCTGATGCGGCGCACCAGTAAAGAGTAAAGAGTAAAGATTGAAGTTCATTTCTTCAAAAGTATATGGGGACTATGCATTCCCAAAGAGTTTAAAATGTTTTCACATTTAAATAAGAACGGAAACTAAGATTTCCAAAGAGCCTTTGAGCTAGTTTTCAGAAAAGAGTAACCGCCTTCTAAATGAAGCAAGAGAGGAAACTTTGATTTCCAAGATAGCCTTTGAGCTAAGTTTTTGAGCAATTATCTCAAATCACATAAAGAAGTATGTTTTTTAAACAGAAGAGCTAGTATCATATTTTGGGAGTAGTATTGAGCACCGATATGGGGGAGAGTTCAGACAACTCACAACCCCCATAAACTATGTAGCCACCATGGGTAGAAAAGGGTCATACTTTTTAGATGATTCATTTAGTGATTTTTAGCATAGACTAGTGGATCCACTTAGTAGTTCAGGTTCTATACCCTCGGCAAGGTATAGGACGGCCCTGGCAGCGTGAGGCAAAATGATGTATCATCACAATAGCTCTTACGTGATAGTTGTCGGTTAGAGAAACTCTCACAGAAGTAATTGTATTCTTATATACACAGTTTATTGTATTTTTACATACACTTCAGATTTATATGTATCTTTGCATACACACAGAGTTGACATCATGTTTTGAACAATTTTTCTTTATATTGCACTTGTTTTAAACTGCTTTATATTGAAATGAGTTCAGTTATGTTGAGTTGAGTTGAGCCAGGTAAGTTCTTTAGTTCCTTTCAAGCTTATGTCTTGTTTTAGAATCCCCTTCGCATACTCGTACATTCAATGTACAGATGTCATTTGGCTTGCATCTTATTATGATGCAGACACATGTCAACATCTAGCTCATCGTTGATCCAGTTGAGCACCCAGAGTCTTGTGGTGAGCCTCCTTGCTTTCGGAGGATCCCTTTTATTGCTTTCAGTTTTATTATTAGTTCATTAGGATGTCGTGGGTCTTGTCCCGACATCCATCTCAGTTGTTTAGAGGCTTCATAGACATTTAGATGTTAGTTTTGAGTCTTCTATTTCCTGTTTTAATGGTTGAGACTTAAGTAGCCATTTTGGCTAGTTTGAATGATTTCTTTAAAAGACATTCTAAGTTATTTCATAAGTTCCTTATTTGGGGTATTTCTGATGTTTAAGTCTTCCGCTGAGTAAGTAAGTCAGGCCAAGGGTTCGCTTGGGCCAGCAATGGTTCTCGAGTGCCAGTCCCACCCAGGAAGTAGGCTCGGGGAGTGACAATTTATTTTTCATCATGTCTCTTAACCAAGCATAGTGTTTGTCCGGTGGTAAATCCTAAACACGAATCTATTCAAGTGGTATGCAAGAAAGATCGAAATATGCCAAAGATCAATTACACTCTAGGGCGAAAGTAGAACCCCATTTTCTATGGGAACGATCCAACTCTTTAGTCGGGTTATTATATTGCTAACAATCGTCTACACTTTCTTGAAGAGGTGTAATTGGGTGTTTATCAGTCACTTGAAAATTCAGTGTTGTAGTTTGATGAGTGACAAACTTTTTTTTTTAAAAAAATCTGATAAAAAACTCATCCCATGAATATCAATCTTACAATAGATGTAAACTGATAGACCAAGAAGTGTGATGGTAAACTCCCTGACATGATATTTGATTGGGAAGAACAGAAGCAAGTTCAAAAGCAGGTTCAAGGAGCAAAAAATGATGATCAAGAAGGCAAAGGGGGAATTAAAAGATGTTACTGTTTCCCTTGACAAAACTCTTGGGAGCTAACTTAGAAAATATTTCTTAGAAAGAGCCACCTTTTGAATATCAAAACCATATTAAATCTTACCATATTAGTGTTATAAGATAATGTAATTGTCTATTTGATTTGGTCTTTATGGTTTATAGATGAACTCAGGATATTCATATGTTCTAGGATGAATTGTAAAGAAACACATTTTTGTTTATAAAGTAACCTTGTTCTATAGTACATAATCCCACTCAAAAAATGTACAATTCAGACAGCACACCCCTTTCGTAAAGCTCCTCAAGCACCTTCCGGGACAACACTGATTACAAACTGTCCACAATGGACTCGAACACCCAATAACTTCAACCAAAAGCTCAAATAAATAATACTTCCATGAATACTTCCATGGTTGAGCAAGAAAAATATAAATCTGTACAGCATGAGTTTGTATGTAAAAGCATCATAATCCAACTAAACTGTGCAGTCCCGATAACCCAGCACTTCATCTGGAACTAACAAGTCTCTAGAACATGAAAACCAACATTGATTCATCAAGCATTAGCAGTCTTCATTCCATCTGCAAATACAAAGCGCATTCTTATGCATGTAAACTTGTTCCAAAAACAATGAAGCAAACTGAACTTTTCAACCATAACACCATTTGATAAGGCGATCATACAACTATTGATCAGAATCCTTTGGCAGTTGCTGCATAGTTCGTTCTCTTAATCAAATTAATTTTCCTTCAGTAAACACTTCGAAAGAAATACAAGTAAAGATAGATACCAGACCTGAAACACACGCTCCACCAGCAGATTTGCTCCAAATTACAATATTTGACCCGTCTTTATGATTCACTGACATGTCTGAAAACAGTGATAGATTTACTTTGATCTTGTTCAGTAAAGGATTTCATCCTTTCTTTTTCAACCTTGTTAACACATGAAAATCTATCAGGGCCCTCATAAAAGGATCCTCCTAACGGGACATACTAAGTCACAGATGTTAAGGGAGATACCTGTGCTTCTAACTCAGCTATTCTTTGTAAAGATAATTGTTCAACACATGCACGACGTTTGCGTTCTTCTTCCAGCAACCCAGTCATCTGATAGCGCAGCTCAGCCATTTCTTGAGCTAAATCCTCTGATTCTTCTTTGGCTTTTAGCTTTTCCATTCTCAGCTTTTCCTACCCATTCAAATTAATGGACCAACAGCATTAAATCACATTAAGACTTGGATGTAAATGTTTCTACGGATGTCAACTACAAAAAATACCTTAAGCTGCTTTACAAGTGATTCATAATTCTTTATTTGACCTGCCATTTTCTTCATCTTGTCAGTCAAGTCCACATCTGATAGCCCTAGAGAAGCCAGTTTGATAAGGAGTGGACCCAAAATGTCACCACAGCAGCTTAAATGAAAGGAATAGTGTGAGACACAATGTAAAAATAGTTGGAAAGATGACTTAGCTTTACTATAATTATAGGTATTTAGCACAGAAATTCTTAATACAAGCATGGTCAACTACATGACAATACACAATCACTATCTCCAACAAACTACAAAATGCATCAACCAAATGTGAAAATCATGAGACAATTTGCTTTATTAGATGAATCATATACTAAGAATTTACTCTGGAATAAGTATGGTTCTTTCACATCAACAACTTGTCACCAACATCTGATCTTATATTAATTAATTAACATTAATCATTCATCATCTTAAGCCAATAAGGTAATGGTAGACTAAGATCTGAGTATATGCTCACTGCATACCTAGAAGCACTGTCATCTTCTTTACTTGAGGAGCTGTCATCATTGTTCGGTATCAAACCACGAAATAGCTCCTCTACTTTTTCAGAAAATGTTCTGGCATTCAATTCAGACGTCTGGAGTTGTTCCCTAAGATTTACATTTTCCTTTTCTAAACTTTCGATAACTTTCTCTGCATCATAAATTTGAAGTTGGAGGTCATGAATAAGCTCGTTCATCATAGCACTATCTTGAGCCGTTTCATCCTGGGATTTCTTTGCTTTGAAATAATTCTGCTCCATGGCTTTCAAATCAAGCTTCATACTCTCTATTTCGAATTGATGCTCTAGACCTACGGATGCTACTGACTCCTCTAGTTTCTCAATGCACAAAGCTGAACCCTCTATCTCCAACTCTTTGTTTTCCAACTGCTGCAACAAATATAAGCGTTCAGCATTTGACGTTTCCAACTCTTCCCTTAACCTTGTAACCTCTTCTTCCATGTTTTCAAGGTTTGCAAGTTTCAATTGAAGGCTGCATACACACTTACTCAGAGAATCCATCTCTTCATTCCTCAAATTCAGCTGATCCTGCAGGTAATCTACAACGAATATATTGGAAATGGTGGGACTAAAATGGGCAATCCAAGTCAACAACAAATAAAATAGATACTATTTTCACTATTGAAGAGAACCAATCTTATATGACAAGCTACAAAATATAAAGGGTATGACCGATAGAAAATTCCTAGTAAATAATGACCAGATAAAGGTGCAAGTTTGCAAAAGACTATGTTGCTCGAACTCTCCAAAAATATTGTTGCACACGTGTCGACTCTCCAAAAATAACTGCTTTTGGAGAATGCACCCATCAACATTTTGAAGAGTCCGAGCAACAAAAGAAAAATATATAAACCAGAAAAAGACGATACGCGTCCATAAAAAGGTGATATTGCTCCAAGGAAAATGCTAAACGTTCATATGATGGCAAAAGATGACTTCAACTTGAGAATCAACAGTCAACTACCATTTTAGTCCTATCAGTGGCATAAGCTTGAATTCTCTTCCTTTTTTGAATATTTCTACGGTCTGGGGCTCCGAGCACCAGGAGTCCAGGAGGAGTATACTTTAGGTAAGAATAAGTAATGTTTACCAAGTAAAATAAAAATTAGTCACATATAATATAATAGGAATATTTTGGAGTGATACCTATCTCTTGGGAACAGTTCTCCAGCTCACTTTTCAGCTTCTGGGTGTGATATTTGTCTTCTTCTCGGGCCTCAGATAATGTCTGCACATGCTGTTCTATTTTCTGTAAAATAGATTTAATAGAAATAGTCAAATTTTCACCTTAGTCTCCAAGATTTTCAACTAGATAATAGAATGTTCATGATTGACAACATAAGTTGATTGTATTCATAGTGGTTATTTTCAGTCCAGTGGTCAACTACTCGAAATTAATTTGTGATGACAATAAGTTGTGTTAACACATTATATCTTTACAAGATGATATAGTTCATACTTCATAGTTGTTTTTAGAGACTACTCTATTCCATTCCCAGAACCAACATACGATAAGATTGCCAATTGCCATGCAGTCGAATTTCTGAAAAACTTTACCATCCTCTTTACATTAGTTTATGGATTATAAAAATCAACATAAGACAAATATAGCATACATAAAGATTATTAGAAGCTTTAAATAATAATAAATCTTGTTACACTAGAACATATAAAACCTCATGGTTAGCAAAAGTAATAGAGGAAAGTGTGCCAGCTCCTCATAATTTTGATTACTAGAAACTTGATTGTGCATAGGTAAAGGGTAAGTACCGAAACATACATGGAAAAAAAAGCAGTTAAATGGCATGGGTAAAGGGTAAATATTTATTGGAAGGCAAAACTAAAGTCTTGTCTTGTCTTCTTTTTATTTTTGGGTGGGGAGGGCAGGGGCTCTTCCACTTGCTAAAAGGAGACGAGGCACAAATTTGCAAAATTAGGAGGTAAGATACAAATGATATTTTACACAAAAAGGAAAAGCTATTAACCGCTCCAACCTATTCGCATGGAGACATCCAAAAGACCTTTCATATGATTCTACATTTGTATGTTCCAAGATCAACAGCAATGATCATACTTTATGCTCCTCTAGATTTTTAAATTTATGTCAACGCTATTGTCACAGAGGAGTATAAAAGCACATCAATTTTACTAACAAGAATGCAGAACATCACCAGCTTTATAGCCAAATGAGTAGATGGTACTACTCAACTAGTAAAGGCAGTTTTGGGAGTCAAAAAACTTGGGAAGCCCCAATAATTTCTATAATTAATTTGGACTAATTTAGAGCTAAAGGATGAAATTTAATCAAATTTGAGTTATGCGGGGCCCGCGCAAGCGTAACTAAGTCATGGGAACTCTTGTAATTAATATTGGTATAGCTTGTAATAAATTATAACTCCATGGGATAAGTGGTTGAATTAATTGAATGAATCAACATTATTAGATTTTTTGGAGAATAATTATTTATCAATGAATAAGCAATGATTAATGGGGATAATCATTCAACCAATGATCAGTTGGCAAGATAAGAAAGGAAATTTGGAATCGATGGATTACTTGGCAGTGACTAAGAGGGGGAAAAAGGATTACATAGAGACAAAATGAGCAAGAAAAAAATGGAAGGAAACTGGGACTAGATTACCTAGAGACAAAATGAGAAAAAAAGAAAGGGCATTGGGACTAAGAGGGTACATGCCATGAAATGAATTGGGTGCAAAAATTAAAAGAAGGGAATAATTAAAGGTACGTCTTCTTGTGATAAAAATGAGAAAGAAACAATGAAACAGGAGGCAAAGTTGGAATGCAAATTTGGAACAAAGGATATGCTGGCAGTGAAGTCCAGCTGAAACGCCACTCTTGGTGTTGAGAAACTTTAAGAAATCAATAACGCGCATGTGGCGGTGGCGCAAGGCTTCACTTGTGGCGTCCAACTTAAATAGCCTTTAGAAGGTATTTTGGGAGAGAAAATTTAATTGTTTGGAACAAGTTGTTGGAGTTAGAAAGAAGGGAGAGCTCAAACTTCATGAATGCTATAGGCAAGTATCAAGTGCATTGCTTGGTAGATTTGGTTCATTAAATACATTTCCTCATGCTCAAATATCATGGAAATTATAGATCTGTGAAGAAAATATCAAGAACCTTTAAATTACACAAGTCATGAAAAATCTAGGGTCCTTCAAAGAGGCATTCCTTTCACTCATGTTCCATGGACATCATAGACTGAACTTTTGAAGGAGTTGGATTTAAACACTGATTTCATGAAACTCCAGAAAGCTAGTTTTGAAATTGAAAAGTTTGTTGATAAAGAAGATGAATATTGTTGTGTTCTCATGAACAATGTCGTTTTTAGTTTCTAAAGGAGTGACTCGGTTCCATAACACGTGTAGTGGACGAATTGGAGTTACAACTAAAGGATTTGACTTTTGAATTGAGCAATAGGGATTCTTACTGAACTAATGAAGTTATATTCAGGTGTTGGACACTAAAGTTGACTTAGTTGGTATTGTTGTGATGTGTTATTGATTTACATAAACATAAACTCGTATATGTATATTGTAAAAGATACTTTGGGGTAAAATTTGGAAAGTGATTCGACGTATGTTCAAACTTACTACCTCTCGAAGTTTTTCCTGAAATTCATATTGTTGAACTGATTTATGTAAAACATGTTTAAAGTGTTTCTTAACTTGTGGGGGCGAGCATATTGGGATTGCACCATTTCTTGCCTTGTAAATAGTTTAGGTGCTATTTGTCATGATTTTCATAAAATGTGAAGGGTAACGTTTTTGAAAACCTTTACATATTGAAATAGCACTTGTTGAATCATTAAAGATTATATTTATTTGTTAAATATTTTACCATGAATTGTCAAAGGATTTTATTTTGCTCAAACGGTTGGATTGACTATGAAGGTCAAGGTTGAGAATTTGGGACATACAAGATTCACCGAGATTGGCTTCGAACATGTTCCTTGTAATGACATGAAACTAAACATGCCGGTGTCGGCGTAGGACCTACCTTATGGTTAGGATTATGGTAGAGTGTCCCATGAGTGGGTACTATTGTGCTACTTTATTAACATGGCTGAGTCGATTCATACAACACTTTGATGAGACAACCTGAGCAAGTAGGATATATAATACTTGCTGCTACGTACCAGTGTTATCAAAAGCAAAAAGTGCAAAAAAAAACTCTAAGGTCCGTTGGGACTTCAATCGCTACACAAATAAAGAGTGAGCTTTAATATAAAAAAAAGAAGCCGCCAAGAGAGGAAAAATATATATGCCTTAGAACCATGATGATGACACGAAAGCACTCAATCCGTTTTGAGACTTGCCTCACAGCCTAAGCACGCCTTTGACAATACTGTTAGGTACATAAGCTAGTTGACTTAACATCTTTTGATGGTGAAGGTATAGTACTCCAGGTAAATGATAAAATCTCACATGATTTTGATCAAGCTTTAATGCTAAAATGAGTACTTTGAAATGTGTTTATTTTGATATTTCATTTCAATGTCTAAATTGATAATTGTTATATAAATGCCTCTTGTTAATATCAATGTCTATGCACGCCAGTTGATTTCTTTAAATCTTGTGTCACATCTTGGGGAACGGTTGTATGATACAAACTAGGCATGTGAAACTTAGATTGTTATATTCTGAGTCACTGAGACCTGTCTCGGTTTCCAAGCTTAATTCTTGTCATAGAGGCTCCAAAGAAGATAGCAGTTCTTTTGGGTTGTAATTACTATTATTCACATGGAATGCATGCATGAGACTTTTTTATTTTGATGAATATTTCATTTGAAAGAAAAATGTTGTTGATTTAACGGTTGTATTCATGCATGATTTTCAATACTTAAAGGATTGGAATGTTTCAATAGTTTTGCATTCATTGTTTAAGTGCATAATTAGGGATGATTACATGGGTTGGTTCTCTCAGGTCAAGTAGAGTTCCAGATGCCAGTCACATGGATTTGGGGCATGACACAACTTTATTAGTCTACAACATCTGAAGATGACTTGATAATGGCCAAAAGATAGAAACCAAAAGATTCACAAACAAAGATAAAGATATTTGAAATTACTCTGATCAGTTCAACACTCTGACCTTGTGAACCCCTCAGCGTATCCTTTTCTTTCCTAAGCTGCCAAACAGGGAATGAAGTTAAAGGAAGTATTAAAAGCTAACTAGCAAGAAAGTTATCACATGTCAAGTCATTATCAGAAAATAATTTGTACAACAGCTATGATCATACAAGCAGGCCAAACTAAAATAAGAAGTCAGATACCCAAATTGACTCCAACTTGGTTTACTATAGAAACATTCCGACTAGTCCACAAAAAAAATGATTCCCAAATTTTTGAATCAAGCAAAGCCAGTACAGTTAAATTACTGCACATAAGATTTCTCATTTAAAAGTGTTCAACCAATTGTTTCCAGTATTAAATTCCAGATCATTTAGTCAGATGTTTGGTTGTCACTCTTAGTTTCCATATTACTCCATAATACATGCATTAGTTAAACGGTAATTCTAGTATAATTTTATGCTGAATTCAAGGTAGATTAACAGTACAGGTAATACTAATGCATGGATCAAAGCACGTGTAAAGGAAAGAATGTTGTTTTATTACTTGTTAGTTAAACCATCTTTTACTTGTTATTACTTAACTAAATCCAAAAATATTTGTAGTATTGATTTTAAATAGTTTACATTCTAACGTAATTAACCAATCATCCAACAAAATGCAAATACAGCAGTGAATGCCATTCACATAATTATGACACGTGAATTATAATCTGCATTTAACTTGTTCATGAATCAAATAATACCCTAGCGCCATAAAAAATTCCTGAAGCTAGTTCCAGCATAACTTCCATGGATATTCAACAACAACTAGGCATCAATCCAAAACAAGTGAGGTTATTACTTTCATGGATATGCTATAACAAATATTATGATATGATTGAAGAGCAGATATTACCTCTTTACATCTTGCCCTAATCTCCAATAGCTCCTTTACATCAAAAGAGTGCTCACCACTACTTGTAGACATTCTAAAAACACGCAAATTAGTGTCCACAGAAGAAAAACAGTGCATCCAATTTAATTTATCTGGACAAGATAAAAAATAAATGGCCTCACAAGCCATAGTCATATTAAGCACCATATGAGAAATCAATTTTACACCTGACTTCTAACTCCTTATACTCACATTGATCAGATATGAACAACAATATAGCAAAAACAGAAAAGTAAGGATAACCATATGTTCATAAGAACTAGAAGAGGTTAATGGATTATCCATTTGGGACACTCAGTTCCAACTAATGTCATAATACCTGTATACTAAAAAGAATATGGATTGAAATGCACACACTCCATTTTCCCCATTTCTTGATTAATGAAAATGTTCCTTCAATATAGAGGTTCAAGCAAATGATAACCACATATCTGGTAGTAGTTCAAAATTCTTCCTGCTTCTCAATAATCACATACACTAGTGCCTAGAAACAATGACGACTAATGTATATGCATATTGTAATGCTCATTTCCCAATTACTAACCAAAAAACTAACACCTAACCTTCGGCTACCCCTCAATGGCACTAATAAGCGCACATGATACATAGGTATAGGGATGCCTATTTTACTAGGCTTAATAGAATACTCAATCAAGCATTCAACTCATGGATTACTCCCGCACCAGATACTTCTCAAGGAAACTGAAAGAAAAAAAAAATAGCAAATGCCCTACACCTCGAATAATGCAGAATGGATACAGAGAATCATGTTGCCCACTTCAACTAGTTGATCAAAATGCCTACACCTTATTTATCCCATTTTCAATTAAGAAAAAAAATTCTAGAGATTGACGAAATTGATTATAATCGTGTTCAATAATTCAAACTTGTTTCAGCTTCTACACAATCACAAAATACAGGAAAAATTGTTCTAAAAAATGATTACTTACAATGATAAAGTTGCAATTATTTTTACATTCAAAAACAAATGAACATAATTTATATACAGGTGCTCCAAAAATTACATGATTAACAAAACTAACACTCGAATAGAAAAGAAAAAGAAAAATAAATACCGATTCGTGGGGGTTTACGATGCCAAATTATCCCCAGAATATCTCAAGATGTCCAAATTTTGAGCTAAAAAATGATTTGACAGAGAAATTTTGAAATGCAAGAGATTATGGGAATCGGGTCTAACCCATTACAAGGGTAAACGGGTTTATTAAATGAAGGGATATTAGTAAAATCTAATCTTAATGCTTATACTCCACAAAACATTAATTTTATTTTATTAAATTTGTATTTTTTTCTAATATTTAATTATTCTTTTATTTGAATTTTATACTTGTTATGTTTACAAATAAATAAATTTTATATATATTTAGAATATTGAAAATAAAAAACAGATAATTTTAATCATTACTCTCTTTGTTCCTTTTTACTTGTCCAATTTTGACTCTTTACTTGTCATTTTTTGACAAATCAAGAAAAGATTATGTTTTTTACCTAATGTACCCTCGATTTATTTAGAGAGTTAATTTTTTTGAAAAAGATAGAACCTCCTTAATTAGTAAAACTGTTATTTAGTAGTTAATTTTACAATTTAAAATTTATTTAAAAAACACTGACATTTTTTAAAGAAAAGAAATAAAGTATAAAATTAAAAGGGAGCAAATGGCATGATAATGCCTTACATGAGAGGAAACCATATGAAAATTGGTTTGTTGACCCAGTAGAGGTGTTCAAGGTTTGGATAAAAATAGATCCAAATCGATAAAATAAACCGATTTTATTTGGGTTTGGTTTGGTCTTAGATTTTTGAAAACCAATAGTATTTGGTTTGGTTATGATTTTATTCGAAAAACCTGAAGAAATAACCTAACTGAACCGATGAATTATATAAATATATTTTATTAATATACATACTTAATATATTATTTTAATAAATAATTTTAAAGATCTTATATGTGTTTTCATTAAAATTTCTTTATAATTTACTTATTGAAAGCAAAATTGACCCAAGGTGAAAACATTTATCTTATTGATTTCATATATATGAGTGTCTATAAAAATTCTTGGTGGGACTGTAAATGTTATTATTTCTTCCTTTTAGGCAAAAATAGTGAATTATAAAGCTTTATTCATAGTAGTTAAATTCAGTGATCAAAAGTTCAGTAATTTCAGTCATTCTAACTATTTTTCGTTTTGAAATGATTGTTTTCACTTTTTGCACATTTTGAATGGATTGTTTCTTTTATTTTGTGTATGGTTAATAACCGAACCAAGCCAAACTGAAACTGATAACCACCAAACTGATAAATGTATATTATATTTGGTTTGGTTTGGTTTGGTTTTGATAATTTTAAAATTGATTAAGTTGGTTTGATTTTGATTTTGACTAATAACCGATCCAAACCGACCCGTGAATACCCCACTTGACAGTATATATGTTTCTTATTTTAGTCATTTCCTCCTAATAATAATTTATATGTGTACTTATATTATATTTTTCATCATACAGTTTTACAAACTCAGTCAAAAAATGTATTGAATAACTTCAACTGTATAATAATAATAGTAATAATAATAATAATACTAATAATACTAATAATACTAATAATAATAATAATAATAATAATAATAATAATAATAGTAATAGTAATAATAATAATAGTAATAATAATAGTAATAATAATAATAATAATAATAATAATAGTGATAATAATAATAATAATAATAATAATAATAATAATAATACTAATAATACTAATAATACTAATAATACTAATAATACTAATAATACTAATACTAATAATAATAATAATAATAATAATAATAATAATAATAATAATAATAATAATAACAATAATAATAATAATAACAATAATAATAACAATAACAATAACAATAACAATAACAATAACAATAACAATAACAATAACAATAACAATAACAATAACAATAACAATAACAATAATAATAAAAATAATAATAACAATAATAATAATAATAATAATAATAATAATAATAATAATAATAATAATAATAATAATAATAATAATAACAATAACAATAACAATAATAATAATAATAACAATAATAATAATAATAACAATAATAATAATAATACTAATAATAATAATAATAATACTAATAATAATAATACTACTACTACTACTACTACTAATAATAATAATAAGAATAATAATAATAATATTACTAATAATAATAATAATAATAATAATAATAATAATAATAATAATAATAATAATACTACTATCCTAGGCCCACCCCGCAGGATGTTCTTATAGAAGAAAGAGATTGGAATCAAACTAACACTTCTTACAGTGGAAGTGAGATTTATGAATGAAATCTAGACGGGTTAACAGATAGGCAGTTAACTAGGTTGGTTCATAGAATGCTCATGTATGCTACTATCTGCAAAAGTGTTAATAACACAGATAGGACTATTTGCAAAATGATCATTGCAGGTTTTACTGATCAATTATGAGGCTGGTGGGACAATTATATGACTATGGAGGCAAAAGCAGTGGTTATAAACGCTAAAGCTGCCACTGAAGGAGTTGATAACCTAGGATTTGCCTTAGTCAAAAATAGAGAAGACGCAGTGTATACATTAGTCTTAACCATTCTAGAACATTTTAGTGGTAGATTTACCAATCAGTATGAAACCGTCAGAACTCTACTCAATGGATTAAGATGTAGACACTTGGGTGAATTTAGATGGTATAAAGATACTTATTTAAGTCGGGTAATGGAACTTCTCGAAAATGGATTAGAATATTGGAAAGCCAAATTCATAGATGGCTTACCATCTTTATTTGCTGAAAAAGTTAAGAAAACTCTAAGAGATCCCCAAGGGATTATTCTTTATAACCATTATACGTATGGAAAGCTTATTGGAGGTTGTACTCAAGAGGGCATAAATTTGTGCAATGAGTTAAAACTCTTTAGACAGCTTAAAATGGATAAGCTAAGAGAGAAATCTCAATTAGGAGATTTTTGTACACAGTTTGGGTTACCAGATGCTTCTAAAGGTACAAAACACGAGACTTCTAAGTCTGAACACCATAGATCTCATCGAAGGAGAAGAAGATCTAGAGAAGAAAGAGAAGAGCGTAAGGCTCATCGAAAATCTCACAGATTTACTAAGAATAGGTCACAAAGAGATCTTGATAAAATCAAATGCTACAAGTGTGGAAAATTTGGACATATAGCTCTGAATTGTAAACTGGAGAAGCTTAAAGCTTTAGAACTAGATGAAGATATTCAAGAAAAGGTTTATAGTTACACTTCTGGTTCCGAGTCAGACTACAAGGAGTCTGAAGCGAGTTATTATACAGAGGATGATCAACCCGAGTCTTCCAACAAAGATCAACAAGACTTAAATGATTCTTGTAAATGTCATGGTGATATCTGTAATTGTGAACATGGCGAGTTTTACTAACTTCAATCTCAGTTCGAAGATATGAATTTACTCACCATAACAGCAGACAATGTTATAGAACTTCTTAAAGAAGTCATTGATAACACTCTTCGTGAAAAGATCATTCAGCTAGCAGCTAGTAAAACTAGCCCTTCTGCTCATAGCATTTCTGATGATAAAAAGGTTAAAGATGATTTTGTTTATTCTGCTCTATATTCTTTGTCTGAAGTTCATAATAGACTTTCATCTAAACAAACTATGGTAGTTCGTGATTCTTCTTTTGATGACTTAAAAGAAGAAATTGAACATTTAAAAGAAGAAATTAAATTTCTTAAACAAAATAATATTATTTGTGATCACCGTCTTACTCAAATTGAGTCTGCTAATAGCAAAAGGAAAACTAAGGTTGATGATGATAATACTCCAGTTGATGATAATACTCTTGCTAAATCTGTAAATATTGATCCTAAACAAAATATGGTTTTAGGAATGATGCAAGTTGTTACAGCTCATAAATGGTATGTTAAATGTACTATTTTAATTGATAATTCTTTCTCTATATCTAATATTGCCATGATTGATAGCGGAGCTGATGTAAGTTGCATTCAAGAAGGATTAGTGCCTACTAAATATTTTGAGAAAACTACTCATATGGTTAAATCCTCATCTGGACATGCTTTAGATATAAAGTATAAATTATCTAACACTCGTATTTGTCAAAATAAAGTTTGTATTCCTCACTTCTTTTTCTTGGTAAAAAATCAGTTATACCCTCCTATCATTTTAGGAACTCCGTTTATAAATGCTATCTATCCTTTTACCAATATAAATGCTAAAGGGTTTTCAGCCACTTATAAAGATCATGATATTAGTTATACTTTTATCACTGAACCTGTTTCTCGTGATATTAATGCTTTAATTGAAATGAAACAAAAGCATATTAATTATCTACAGCTTGAGATTTTTAGTATGAATATATTTGATAATTTGAAAGCTACTAAAGTACAGGAGAAGATTAAATTAATCTCTGAACAAATGGCCATTGATATTTGTGCTGATCATCCTAGTGCTTTCTGGAATAGAAAAAAGCACATCGTAACTCTTCCGTATGAAGATGATTTCTCTGAGGAAAATATTCCTACGAAATCCCGACCTTGCCAAATGAATTCCGAATTGGTTAAATTATGCAAAAAAGAGATTGATAATCTGTTACAAAAGAGTTTAATAAAACCTTCCAAGTCACCTTGGTCTTGTACTGCCTTTTATGTTAATAATGCAGTAGAGAAAGAACTGGTGTCCCCAGGTTAGTTATAAATTACAAACCTTTAAACAAATATTTAAAATGGATTAGATATCCTATTCCAAATAAAAGAGATTTACATTCAAGATTATATGACGCCAATATATTTTCAAAATTTGATTTAAAATCAGGATATTGGCAGATTCAAATATTTAAAGAACATTCGTATAAAACTGCTTTTAATGTCCCGTTTGGACAATACGAATGGAATGTTATGCCATTTGGTTTGAAAAACGCCCCTTCTGAATTTCAAAAAATTATGAATGATATTTTTAATCCTTATTTGGATTTCATTATAGTCTATATTGATGATATTCTGGTTTATTCAAAGACTCTTGAAATGCATATAAAGCATTTAGATATTTTCAAGAAAATAGTCATTCAAAATGGATTGGTAATATCTAAACCTAAAATGAGTCTTTTTCAAACAGAAGCTAGATTCTTGGGTCATTTAATTTGCCAGGGAAAAATTACTCCTATTCAGCGATCTATTGAATTCGCATCAAAGTTTCCTGATATAATTACTGATAGAACGCAATTACAGTGTTTTTTGGGAAGTTTAAATTATATTTCTCCCTTCTACAAAAACTTGTCTCGCGATTTAGCCCCATTGTACGACAGGCTGAAGAAGGAGCATAAGAAACCTTGGACTGATAGTCTTACAAACCTTGTTAAAGCAATCAAAGAAAGAGTTAAGTCTTTACCTTGCTTAACCCTTGCCAATCCTGCTTGGCCTAAAATAGTAGAGATAGATGCGTCCAACATGGGTTATGGTGGAATTCTAAAACAAATTAACCCTCATGATAATCACGAATACCTTATTCGTTTTCATTCAGGAAAATAGAGCGATGCTCAATGAAAGTATGCAACGGTAGCTCATGAAATGTTAACTATCGTTAAATGTGTTTTAAAATTTCATGATGATCTATACAACCAGAAGTTTTTGATAAAAACAGACGCTCAATCAGTCAAGTATATGTTTAACAAAGACTTTAAACATGACGCGTCAAAATTAATGTTTGCAAGGTGGCAAGCACAATTAACACCTTTTGATTTTGAAATTCTATATAAGAAAGGAAGTGATAACTCCCTCCCCGACTTCTTATCAAGAGAATACATTCAAAATGAGTGAATATAGTAGCTTTTCAGAAAGAGATAATGATATTCCCATCTCTATGTTTTTTACTGAAAAAAGATTGATTACTATTCTAAAGGTTCTTCCTTTTAATCAAGATATAAAGGAATTTATTTGCTGGAAAATTATAGATGGAATGTTGATAGATCTATTCCAATCAATAGAAGAATCAAACACTTATTATGATGCGAATTGGGTTTAAAACTCATTGTTTCATTTGCAGAATGGAACACCCTTGGATGACTAAGGGTAGAGGCAGAGGCAGAGGAAGATCATCCTCAGTCTCATCAAGATTGTCATACGGATCTTCTTCATCATCCAGCACTCTTATTATACAGAGAGGATGAATGAGTTTAGTTAAACTAAATTCAAAAACACAAGAGAAAACCTCTTCGTCAATACATCTGGAAGATATTCCAGAAAGCGACTCGTTATATGCTAAGTTACAAGAATATATAAACCAAAAGCAAAGTAATACTTTTGCTTCAATAGCCAAAGAAGATACTATTGATGATATGAAAACCTATGAAAAGGTAGAGAAAAGAGAAATGATATTTCTCTTAGAAAATGCTGATATACAGAGGAGAGAAGAACCTCGGAAGATATTCCAAAGGTACTTACTTAATGGGCTTTACTTCCCGGGCGAGTCATACAAAACTCGGAAGTACTATGAAACTTTGCTGATAAGCACGGGTGTTGAATTCCAACACTTTGCAGGATACAATACAGGTGAGAATGTTTATAACTTCTCTAAAATGATTGTTAAACAAATTATTCACATTGAAGATTGGGGTATTTCCTCAATGACAGAATGACAGATCAGTCTTAACAATGTTAAAATGAGTTTCACATATTGGGATTATATCCAGGCCTTCGACAAAGTCCTCTGTTATAACAATGAGAGACATAAACATACTTGGTTCATAAAGGTATGTGCAAAGATATTTGCTAATCCTATACCTAATTGGTTTTTAAATTGGTGGTCATACCACGGGCCAACAATAAAAATATTGCCCGAACCATTTCTTAAGTTATATAAAGAATGGGTAAAGATTTTCCCGGATCTTAATAGATTATATCAGCAAGAACATATTTCTTACTTACAACAGATTGAACAGATATGGTTTTTCATAGAATTCTCTGTTCCATGGATCCACAAATGGGTTCCAGAGGTGGATTTTACAGAAGAACAAATCCCCTGTTTATATCGCACTTATTATAATAACTTTTGGGATAAGTTAATGAAAAAAGATCCGCAAACAAAGTCAATATATGGACAAGAACTATTGGATCAAATACCAGCGACTATTAAAGAATATTAATCGATTCCTAATAAAGGAATTGTAACTGATGAGTCAACTTCAACTTCGGTAAAACATATGGCTCGAAGAATCTCTAATCATGATGAAGAAGAGCAAAATAAAATGATATTGGATTACCTAGAAGCGGTAAAAAAGACTCTTCTTTCAAATTTAAATCAGTATGCAAAATCAGATTCCTCTATGCATAGTGAGGCTAGTGAAGATATGCATGAAGCCCAACAAATTGAAGAAGAAGAACCAGCAGATACGCTGAAAAGGGCTGAAGAACTTTTGGCAAAGCTAAGAGACAAAGCTTAGTGGATGAAAGCACTATCAGACACTACCAACAGTGGATGTACTGTTCAGTGAGATAAGCACTACAAACAGTGAATGTACTATTTTGGCCCCACATAAGGGACCCGTTTTACTATTCGTAGATGCCTTTTTCTATCTATAAATAAGGGCATTTTATTTTGTTAAAGAGCAAGTTTTAGAAACCAACTTTTCTCTCTACTTTCTCTCTCCCTCTCTCTCTCCTTTGTAAAAGTTTGAAGTATAGTGAGCTTGCCGGACTTTGGCCGGAGAATAAAAGTGTGCTGTTTGTTCCTAAGGTAATTTATCTTCTTACTTCTTTAGTACTTTTCTATTAAGCCGTGATTATGTCTGGCTAAAGACTTATATCTATGCCGGATAACTAACTTTAATTTTTTATCTACCATGAAAGATCCTAGGCTCTGATACCAACGAAACAGGATTTCTGAAGACTGGCAATAGTCCGCATGGTCATCTTTAATCTAGCTTGTTAACATCTGAATAATTTCGAATCGAAATACATACAAATTCTTAGATAATTAATGACTGTATGGAAGGATCCAATCCTTTTACCCAAGCAAGGGGTCTGTCTAGATTCAAATACGTATTGTCAATGAGCCCATGTGTCTAGCAATTCTAACCGGGTATGACACACCCTTTTAACTCATTTTGCGGGCTAAGACCACGGCTGGCTAGACGGAGTCACTAAGACAAAGCCATTAACTTGTTGTATTGAATCTGACTGTACCACAATCTCGGAACCAAGTCAAGAAATTATAGATGAATTTATGCATATTTAGATAAAGTCTAGATCTTTCATGGTAGATATAAAATTAAAGTTAGTTATCCGGCATAGATATAAGTTTTTTAATAATAATAATAATAATAATAAACAAAAATAATAATAATAATAATAATAATAATAATAAAAATAATAATAATAAAAATAGTAATAATAGTAATAATAATAATA